TTTAAATGTCATTAACTTTCGTAAACAGCTCAAACGCCAGTCACCAAATGTTCCTCATCAACTGTAAACTGAAATTAATTTATTTCAAATTGTTTTATGAAGGTTTCTTTATCAAGTTCTCGCATTTTACCTCAGCTACGTTTTCAGAAATCCAGTTGAGAATAATAAAATAATCCTCTGGAGAATGAGGCTTTGTTACAGCAGAAGTTCTCATATTCACCAAATACCTTATCGTATGTCTCACAAACAGCCACATGCAGGACACGGCACTATTGGTAATTTTCATTTTATTATAAAAAACAGTATTTGAGTCCACAGTTTGTGTTTCTTTGTACAGTAAAAAATATTAAATTAAAATCCCAAAGTTCAGAAAGATAAAGATGGAGTTGAGGAGGAAGGGAGATCAACTTTCTCGTAGAAGAGGGAGGGAGGGAGGGAGGGGATTTAAAGTCCGAGGGAAGCAGCAACGGGGCCGAGGCAGAAAGACACGGAGACTTTCTCCTCATTTCTGTGCAACACAGTTCATTTGGATCAAAATCTTCTGTTTACTCCAAACAGTAGAATCCTAAAAACACTAAAAGGAGCCCACCCCACCCAGTTTCTTTTCTCCATGTCCCAGCTCATGTACTCAAAATGTTACAGGCACACAGGTATGCACCCCCCCTCCCCAAGCCTCCACTGCTCCATATTAAGTGTCTTTAAAAAGGAAGGAGTGCACACACATTCGAGGGAGAGGGCTTGCATGTTTGCGAGGGATTAGTCCCTTCCAGCATGGCCGATGTCCAACGCAGAGGCTGGTGGAGACGCCACGATGTGTCCGCTCAACATCTCAAACTCACAGCAGACCCTCAACCGCTGCGATAAAACACTGACATTTCTTTCTCCCCCACCTGGACAGACCCAACTAAAGACGGCTACAGCGAAGTGAAACAAGAACTAACGCCCCCCCCCCCGCCCCTCCCGACAGTCAATAACAAAAATATATTTCTATACAAATTTAAGCAGTCTCAGGGTACATAACACCCCCGCCCCACCCCCTTTAGAGAAAACAATAAATAAAGCAAACCCAAACATTTGAAAAGGAGGATATGCATCATGTTTGGATTTACAATAATAATATTAATAATAATAATCCACATCACTCTGCAAAACAGAAATAGACAGACTGAATGATGGGAAACAAAACCGATAAAAAAGTTCTTTGCATTAAATCATTTCCTCTTTAATCTTGACCACGTTTAAAACCTTAAAAACATTTCTTAAAAAAGGCAAGTTCTCCTATTTACCCCCGAAAATATGACCTTTCTTCTATTCAGCAAGATGTGGAGGTGAGGAGGCTGCTCGAGAAACCGCCCCCCCTCTCTGTCCACGATTGGCAAAAAAATATATTAACAGCAATAACTTACAATTCATTTATTCTAATTCATTTAACGACTGCTTGATTTATTGTTCATCTCCCATAGGAAGTTCAGTTCAATGCATCTTTATTGAAAACATTTTAAATAACATTTAATAATAGTATAAAAAAGAAAGGCTAAGTAATAACAATAACACTGTCCTGGGTGAGTGCAGTTTGTGCGAAGAATCACGGAGCATTTCAGCTCAACATGACACGTTAGTAGAATTCCTACATGATGTCTAAAGGGTTGTGATTCATATTCTGGCCCAGTGGGTCCTGACTGTTTCCCCCTGGTCCGTGGAGACCGGCCATGCCACTCAGCTGAGATAACATGGCGCTCTGGTCCGACCCAAACTGCTCCATAGAGTTCTGTTGCTGCTGTTGTTGTGGAGGGACCCCCATGCCTGGGTGGTGCTGGTTCAGATGGCCTGGGTGAGGAGAACCCGTCTGCATCTGAGGAGAGATGTGATGTGGGGAGGGCTGGGGCTGCATGCGCGGGGACGGGCTGGAGTGCGGTGGCTGGGACTGAGGTCTGGGGGAGGGCTGTGGAGATCGCACCTGGTTAGCCAGCGATGTGGGCATTGTCTGGCCCTGCAGGTGCGGGGACTGGGCCATCTGCTGCGGCTGCTGAGGACTCATGGGATTGCTGTGCTGGGCCGGTGACCCGCCGGGGCCAAGATGCTGCTGCTGCTGCTGGAGCAGCCTCTGGTGGAGGGCCTGTTGTAGCAGAGCTTGAGAAGATGGAGGGCCACCTTGAGTGGGCTGAGGGCCTTGAGATGGCTGCTGAGGACCTCCCACACCTGGCCCTGCATCGCCCCCTGGCAGACCAGCCATGGCATTCTGCTGCTGCATCTGGAGGTGGTGCTGGTGCTGGAGCCTATGCTGCAGTGCAGCTGTAGCTTGCTGCTGGGCCACAGATCCTGGGTAACCTTGCCCCTGCTGGCCTGGGGGACCACCAGGCTGCTGGGCGCCATGAGGAGGACCTCCAGGCTGGCCCTGTCCCCCTGTTGGAGGCTGCATCCCAGACTGTCCCATGTAGCTCTGCCCCTGTGGTGGTTGTGGCTGCTGGAACTGACCGTGATTTACTCCCATTTGTTGCTGCTGCTGCTGCTGCTGTTGCTGTTGTTGTTGTTGTTGCTGCTGCTGGAGATGCCTCCTCATGAGCATCTCTCTAAACTGGGTAGTGTTGAGATTTCCCATCTGTGGCCCCTGGCCATGCATACCCCTTCCTCCCCCTTGCTGCTGCTGCTGCTGCTGTTGCTGTTGTTGTTGCTGCTGCTGCTGTTGTTGTTGTTGTTGTTGTTGTTGTTGTTGCTGTTGTTGCTGCTGCAGAGCTGCCACTTGTTGTTGTTGTAAACTACTGAGCATTGGCCTCTGTTGCTGCTGTTGTAACTGTTGCTGCTGTTGTAACTGTTGTTGCTGTTGTAACTGCTGTTGCTGTTGTAACTGCTGTTGCTGTTGTAACTGTTGTTGCTGAAGTTGCTGTTGCTGCTGCTGTTGCAGCTGCTGTTGCTGCTGCTGCTGTAGCTGGGCCATAGTGGCCATGTTGACATTCGTCCCTCCCTGACCTGCCATATGCATCCCAGGCTGACCGGAGCCTGCAGAATTCATGTTCACCTGTGGTCCCCCTCCTGCCATGACATTACCAACAGGACCCCCTGTGGGTCCAGGACCTCCCGGCACGACACCCGGTCCACCTGGAGCCCCCTGCACCCCCTTGTATTTTGAAGCCCTCTGCTTAATAAAAGCAGCCATGAGCTGTGGATTAGACCGCAAGATGTTGAGGACTTGCTGCTGCTGGATCGGTGAGCTAGGCGAGCGGAGAGTCCGTAACAGGTCTTGGAGGGCAGCCTGGGGGATGCTGACACCAGTAGCTCCAGGGACAGCTCCCCCTGGGACACCGGCACCTTGCTGCTGTGCCATGTTTATCAAGGCAGCATGGCCCTGAGCTTGTTGGTGGTGCTGCTGCTGTTGTTGCTGCTGCTGCTGCTGCTGTTGTTGCTGTTGCTGCTGCTGCTGCTGCTGCTGTTGTTGTTGTTGTTGGTGTTGTTGTTGTTGTTGCTGCTGTTGTTGAATTTGCTGCTGCTGAGCTGCCATCATGGCTGGATGGCTCATTTGGTTCATCATAGCTTGTCTCTGCTGGGGTGGCATCCCCTGGGCTGCCCACTGCTGTTGCTGCTGCTGCTGCTGAGGGTTTTGAAGTGGTGCACCCATCCTCTGCTGCATTTGAGGGGGGAGTGGGCCCTGGGGTAGGTTACCCTGCTGAGGGGTTTGCTGCATGGGCCCCCCAGGACCAACCATCATGCCTGGTGCAGCGCTTTGTTGTTGATCCATGTGGGCACGAGCAGCTGCCACTGCGGCCGTCTGTTGTGGCATGCCCTGAGGTCCAACCATCCCTACTGCCCCTGGGTGTCCCATGGCCATCTGTTGACCTTGACCCTGTTGATGGTGCGGGTGAGGAGGCATCAAGCCTGCAGCTGCCTGGGCGGCTTGTCGTTGCAGAGCCATCTTTCTCTGAGCATCAGCTACCTGTTGGATCTTCATGGCGATTTCTACTGCTGCCGGTGGAGGCCCAGAAGGAGGCTGCTGTTGCTGCTGTGAAAGGGGAGGCTGGGCCTGGGGCTGGTTAGGAGGTTGCTGGCCCCCAATACTTCCAGCCATGACAGTGCCACCAGGCTGTGGCTGGGGAGGTGTTGCAGACCCAAGAACTGGTTTGCCCTGGGACTGATGGATTGGGGAGGAGCCTGGAGGTCTGCTGGCATATGGAGGCAAATTGTTCGGGTGCTGTTGGATTTGTTGAGGGTTGGTCCCTGCTCCACTATGCTGCTGCTGCTGCTGCTGCTGTTGTTGTTGTTGTTGGACTTGAAGCATCTGCTGCTGATGTTGGGGAGAACTCATTATCCCACCAGCCCCACCACCTCCGGCCGTCGCCATCTGCTGAAACTGGTGGTGAAGGGGGTGTTGAGGAGGCATGCCACTTTGTGAGGGCATCCCACCTTGCTGCTGTTGCTGGACTCCAGGTCCTGGACCCATTCCCTGTTGCGGGACTGGAGGCATGGTCTGAGTTGGTGTCTGGGGAGTTGGGGGCTGGGTTCCTCCAGACGTAGGGGTACTTGGTGCTGTGCTACCATTGTTCCCTGGTGATGGAAGTCCAACAACAGGTCCTCCGGGTGGCCCACCAGCGGGCTGCCCGACCCTCTGCATGCTGGCCATTCTTCTCCTTAACATTTGTGCCTGCTGGAGCCTGTGCTGTAGCTGCTGCTGCCGCAGCTTTTGCTTGATGTTCAGACAGAACGGGACTGGACATTTGTTCTCTTGACAGTGTTTAGCATGGTAGCAGCACAGAGCAATGAGCTGCTTGCAGATGGGGCAGCCACCATTCGTCTTGCGCTTGCAGCCTTTTGTGTGCTGAACAACACGCTTCATCTTCTGGCAGGACGGCAGAGAGCAGTTGGCGTTGCGGCACTGGCACGCATGGACCAGCGACTGAATACACCGCTGGATGCTTAGACGACGGGAGTCTCCAGGGCTCTGAGTAGCTGCTGCTGACTGGTTGTTGCTGTCGTCATCCAGCCCAAGCCCCAGTTTATCCATCTTGTGCTCATGACCTTTAATGTTGTAGCAGGTGATGCACAAGTCATAGTCCTGCAGGAGGAAGGAAAAGTAGAGAGATGGGAAAATTAATACAAGCACATGAATCATTGAAACAAGTTAAACCAAAGTGTTACAAATCAATTTTTTTACATTACACATTCAATAATGTTCATGTCTCAACGTGTCTTTTGATAAATCCACAACTGCTTCATCTTGATAAACAGTTATCTTCTCACCCACATTTTACAGTAACACAGACAGTTTTGCTGTTGTGCAACTTTAACATCTGAAGAAACAGCAGTGAGTCTTTGTAACTCCTCCCACATGAATTTTTCATACTTTCAGCAAGGAATGCTGACAACGAACACTACAGCCAAAGAGCTATTGTAAGGGCTCACTGGTGCCCTGGATACTAAACAGCTGCCCAGCACCGCAGAGACCCAGTCTGCAGAAGCAGTCTATTTGGCTGGACACCCCAGTGAACACAACTAGCAACGATTGGAAGAGGGTGATGAGGAGCCACGGTGGAGCTGCTGAAACACTGACTGTAGAACAACAGAATCAGCTGTTCCAAATTGGAAGGGGAGACAAAAGTACACATCTGTTTATCCACCGTGCTTCTGTGGTCTACTTTCTACTAAAACCTCTTCCTTTATTCATTCAGCAGTCACCTTATGTAAGAGAAAATCTGAGGAGTTAAGCGTTAAAATATTATATTTGCATATATAACCAACCTTAAGAATATTAAATTCCAAAAGTATATAAGAGTTATTACATTAAGCAACAATTTAATTCATGTCTGAGCTCCTAGCTCTTTCTGGAACACTCATGAAAAAAAAGGATTGAGCTCTGGGGATATTTTAGTTTAAAAAAATTTACATTACTGCCACACAGCTCCCAACTGTATGTGCAGGTATTTAGTCTTAGGTAATACTACCCAAAGACTGCAGAGTTTTTATCAGCTAATACTGTAAGTAACATCATAGTATTTAAATTTTTGATTCTCACCTCGCAGACGGTGCAGTGGAAGCGGGTCTCCACATGGTGTTTACACTCATTGCAAGTGTAAACGAAGCGGTCCTGGCTCTGGTTGTGCAGCTCCACCAACATACACATGGAGCTCCACATGGACCTCCTCAGAGAGCTGAACTCCAGGTGCTTGTCCCTGGCCAGAGTCAGGAAGGCGTCGCGGCCATCCATCAGGTCACAGGCCATCAGCGGGTCTACGTCAGTGATGGGGGGCAGGGAGTTGGCTGTGGGTCCGGCAATGAGGCGGATGACAAAGAAAACCTGGGAATAAAAGTGGAGGTCAGCTGTAAATTTCCTCAGATTGTGTGGATGATGTGTGATTCATGCCCTCATCTGTTAAATTCATTTTGCACTTAAGAGGAAAGCAAAACATAGTACAAAGGAATATTCCCAGAATTATTTATAATTTCCCATAACTGAAAACAAGGAGCAGTATCTTACTGGAGAATATCCTTGATACAGTAAGTTATTATAATATTCTTAAATAAAACAGTTAGCATATACTGCTACACACACATACCTCCTTATGTTTCTCCATGGTAGCGTAGAGTTTCTGAGAAAGGTCATTGGAAACATTGGGCATCCCCGGTTTCTTCTTGTTGGCTCGGCTCAAGCTGCTCTTGTTCTTGCTCGTCTTTTTATTGTTCTTCTTTTTGGCATTCTTGCTGTCTCCTTTTGTAGCCTGTGCATGTTTAAATAAATGTTTCAATACATAACACGGCATTAACAAACATTAAGAGTCTGAAAGTGATGAACGCATGTGGACTCTCGCTCTACTCACATCTGTGCTCTCAGTGGAGGTACTGTTCTCCTCTCTCTTCCTCTCCTCCTCCTCCTGCTCCAGCTCCTTGATGCTCTCCTCCAGCACGTTTGGCCAGAAGTCGCCCTCAAAATATGGCAGCTCCTTGGGGCTGGTCAGCCGGTCCTCTGTCGCTTGCTTGAAAACATCCTGAGGGACAAAGAGAGGACCGTTAAATACTCACAGTTGATGTCATTAACAAATCATAGTATTGAGATGATCATTCTTGACCTGGGAGATAGCAGATTTTAGATTTTCTTTAATTAAAAAACATGATAGGGCTGCCACCTTGTAGATAAAATAAGACACTGAATACATCTGCATGTATGCAGTGAGACTAAGATGACTCATTCATGTCATGTTACTATCAAGGTTATAACCTGCGTCTACTGGAGTGAATGCTGATTGAATCCATTCACACGGCAGACAAAGGCCAGATGTTAACAGGTGTTAGTGGGTTTTTTAACAAGTGGAAAGGGGGGTTTACTTTACTGATAAGTCAAGAGGGCATGTAATACATAAAGCTGATACAGAGTGCCCTCTGCTGGATCATGACAAGAAGTACTTCAGATGGTCTGATGTGCTACATGTCTCACCTTGTAATCATGGACAATGCGCTCAGACACAGCCTTGTCCAGCATCTTCTTGTACCACTCCTGCAGGCGCTTTGGCTTGGGGATCTTCTGGTCCGACGGATGGCAGTGAAAGATGTAATCATCCCCTTCACTGGGTGGACAGGCCCAGATATGACCCGTTGTAAACCTGGAAGGGGAGACATGTAGTTTCATCAATTGAAGCATTCGTAAAGAAGTAAACTGACTTCCTTCTTTTTCCACCTGCCTCCAAAGATTTAAACTCTGCTCTTACCCCTGCCTCTTGACATACTCCAGGTAGCCAAGCAGGATCTCATGGTAGACAGCTGTCCTGAGGTGTCGAGGTTTGAAGAAGTGCACGCTGTCCAGGTAAGAGATGTACACTCGTCTCTGATTGGGAGGCGGGCAGTCGGAGCCGTACTCTTGAACATGCATGCCGAAAAAACACACGTCTGCTCCGTCGATGTCTTCGAATGCAAACAAGGCTTTCATCCTGTAGGGGAAGGACTCCGACATTTCTCCACTGTCCACAAATCTGGATAAAAAACAGGAAGCAAAAAGCTGGGTGAGTAAATCAGCTGTGAAATCCATGAAATGTCATCATCAACTCTTCCCTTCTCTTCAAACCAGCTCATAATTATCAAACCTCAGCCTGATGTGTGACCTGCTGCTGTTTGTCTCCATCTTTACTAACTTTTCATTTATTTTACTTTGCAGTGAGACACTCTGTTTAACAGATCAATCATTCACTCGTTAAGCTACAATCAGATCTAGACACAACTCATCTCCTTCTCAATGGAGTTATTAGACAAAGACACGATGACACACCAGTGCTAAAGACATTTTTAGACATGAACTCCGGGGAATGTCCGCACAATTGGGTCCAGATTTTCTCTGGTTTATTTTATCAGAACACATTTCTACTTTAGTTGATGCTGTGGTATCCTGAAAGCACATACATCCAAACTTGATAAGCACTCGTTACTGAACAGAAGTAACAAAAACCAGAAGAAAAGAATAGCCGCACACCAGTAGATGCTCCCACAAACTCCCCTTTAATAGCCTCTCATCAAACATAATCAATAAGCCATGATTCTCAATTCATTTTATGGAGCTTCTTCCACCACACACAGAATCTGCAGCAGCAGGTTTAACCTCTTACCTGGACTTCATGCCTGGCTTGACCTCAACCACCTTGTCCGAGACATGGACGACTCGGATGGTGATATCGCCAGATTCGGGGTGGCACTGTCGCTTGAGGTAGTCGTTCACGCGCATCTCCAAATAGCCCCCCAGCTTGGTCTGGGGAAGTCCTATGAAAAGACGAAAATGGAGTCGGGTTAACAACAATTTAAAATGATCATTTACATTATTCTGATAAATTCTTCACATTTCAATGACGTCTGCCATGTCATCATACTCGTGGCCTTTTGTAGGGTAGTGGTCATAAAACACAAAAACATGTATCTTGTATTTGTTCTCTGTACTCTACTTACTTTTAGCTGCGTATTTGTTCTCTTTCCGTGTCTTGTTTGCCTTTTTGAGGCAGTTGTCACATGTGAAGCTGTGGTTGGGGAGGAAACAAATAGTAAATCAAATTTGCAGGAAGCCATCTGCTCTGTCACAATAACCACCGGTGACTGCGATAAAAAGGCATAAATCAAGAGACAATTTGGTCTTTAATGTCAGTCGTTTCTTCCTCAAATGATAAAATGAGTCTGAAGTCACTTATAATTACAAACAGAACCCACATGTAGGGAAATCAAACTTTATGACTCGCTTTTCACACAAGCAACTTTTATTGTTGATGGAATAAATCAAAGCTCTAACTTCTAAACTTTTTCTCCAAACTTCTCCTCAACATGCTGAAACTGTGTGAGATTAGCTTGAGTCGGCAATGTTTACAGCTACGCAAAAATGTGCCGTCACATGTGTCATGACATAACAATATTTCCAGCACCTTTATGATGCTTTTCCTGATTTTAAAGCTTCAGGGAAAAAAGAATCGAGGAACACAAAAGGGTAAATTCATTTTCCAGACCCATGTGCTCATGTAACAGAATGTACAGTTTGCATATGATAGCTAGCTCACCCTGAAGGCCATATGGTTTCATGATGCAGGACACAGATCTGGTGCATTTTACGACCGCAGTCAATACATTCCACAAGCCTGAGCAGAGAGAAGACAAAAAGGCAGACACAATATTACTGTTTGTTCTTCTACAGGAGCAACAAAGTTACTGCCAAAACATTTATAACGATGGAATAGAACATCTTTTATCTCACAGCAATCATTGAAAAATAAATTATCACAAGGTCATGACAAAAAAACAAAGTTATTATGTTAAGAAGGGGACGTACAACTCGGGATCAAGTGTGTCGTTCTTCTTTCGTTGGAACTGGTCTTTGTTGATAGACCTGTGAGAAGTATCAGAAAAACAAAATACTGTAACAACACGGTAAATCCTCGATGGACTAAACACTACGAACACAGTTTATCGTTATACTGATCATTTGTACAATCTAGAAATAGAAAAATCCTAACGTTGATATAACTTGTATTTTCTATGATGGTGATGAAACAAATACTCAAATAAAATCAAAGGAATGTTTGTTTTACTAAGAGGAACTCCATCAATTTTACACTCAGTTACTTCTGAAACAATTATCAGTATAACATCTTCAAGATAAAACAACCTGTGTGATGTCACAGTGGTGTCTTCAGGGTTATCTTGACTTCGGCTTAAGGCTTGAAATGTTTTACAGAAAGTCTCCATTACAAACTGGAGGTGCAGAGTTTAAAATGAGTCAGACAGGATCTGATGAAAGTCGCATTACGGGAAATCTAGTATTCACTTTAGCTTGACCCATACAAGAGACTAAAAGTCAGGAAAGCTTACATCTGCTGCTGTGCTGTTTCTTTCTGCATTTTTTAAAATAAATCTGTCTTTTATGACTCCTCAAACTTTGCTGTACCGCAAATGTTTTCTGTTTTTAAATTCTTAAATTTCAACCAGACAGATAAAACAAAATCTATAAACATTCAACAATTCGTGATCTTTAATCTAATTCCACCACTGAGCTGCTGGTGGGTCAGTTACTACAACGTGATACAAGCTGAATATATGTGATGCTGTCAAGACTAAGGAACAAGATGGTTTTAACCCTAAAGCTGTAGAGGAAAATGTTTTCAACTGGAAATTTTCAGGGTTAGATGTCCAAAAAAAAAAAAGGTGTTTAGAACAACCAAGACATTTAATTGCTGACAGTTCTAATATCTAACTACTTGAGAAACTTTAGGTTTTATTTGTGCTTTTGTCTGCTGGTGTGGGAGGAAGGCAGGAGTCTGAGAGTACTCACGTCTGAGGCTGAGAGGGGTCGTCCCCCAGGGAAACGCACTCGCCCTGGATTTCGTTGAAACACTTCTCACAGAAGTGGTACCTGTCAGCAAGAAGCCCATATTTTGGTGAACTACACCGTTCGCCATCATCACAGCCAATCACAGAGAGGGCACGAAGAAGCAGCCGCCAATCAGGGCAGGGCAGGACAGGCCAGGGGGCGGACACACAGGAGGAGGCAGAGGGCAAGGTAGGTCGTCGCCAGGCGGAAGCAGCCAATCGTGATGCAGGGTTTTTGTGTGGGCGGGTGTTTTGATTTTGCGCGTAAATTTTGGAGTGGATGATTGGTCACACCAAAGCAGGCCAATGCAGACATCACAAGCGTTAAAAAAGGAGGGAGAGAAGGGGAGAGGGGAAGGGGGCAAAGGGAGATGGGGGAGGGGAGGTCAAAATGAATATTAAAAAAGCGTGAAATAAATCGTTACAGGTCAGACGGAGACAATGTAGAGACAGAGAGGGATAGGGAGGACATGGAGGAGGAGGGAAGGACGGACAGGATGTGAACAACAACCAACAGAGGACAGAGAGCCAAGGCAAAGCAAAGATTAGCGTCAGACGTCCAGTGGTAAACAACAACAACATTACAGCAACATGAGAGACCACTAGGAGCTGTGGAGGAGGAAGGGAGCGAGGATACGAGTCTCCATACATGAAAGGGTGGATGAGGAAAAAAATACATACATGGTAAAGCAACAGAGACCCATCATCCTTTCAGTTCATTTATAAAGTGGGAACCTTTCTTCTGGTGGTGAGCATGGATTACCCCCCCGCATTTATAAAACACAGTCGTGTGTGTTGGTTGTGCATCTAAAGTTACTCAGTGGAAGAAATTGTGCCAGAAACAAAGACTAGTTGCTGAGGAAGAAGACAGGAGCCCACTTTATGAATGACAACAATGAAAATGAAAATTAGAACGAACTATGGAGATGGAGCCAGGGTAACCATTTGAAGCCAAATCAAAACTCATCTGTGATTGCACTGATTAAAAGATGCTGTTTGAAATACACTCAAATATAATGTGCAAAATATAACAAGACACAAAGAAGCTGATCTCATTGGCTGCAAAATGTTGAAATTTCAATACAAGTTTCTGAATACTGTTTGTCTGTGATGTGCGCATGCTTGTGGTCTAATGTCTCGAAAGCCCTTACCTGTTCTGGTAGCTAAAGTACGCAGCATCACGTTGGATGGTGCATAATTGTTTTCCATAGCAGCATAGAGTTTGAGGGGAAAATTCAAACTGCAACGAGAAAAGAGACAAAAAGAAAAGCTGTTTTTAAAACTGTTGGACAGGAACTGATCATATTACACCCGTCATACATAATTCATAGTTGCATATTCATATATAAATGTTATATATGTTAATATAAACCTGCAGTCAGCAGGTGGTTAGTGTAGCTTAGCACAAAGACTACACCTGCACATGAAATGTAAAAAACAAAACGCCTACTGCTGACTCACCTTCCTCCCACAACAGTATCCCAGGCCCTGCATGACAGGGTCGATCTCAGACTCAAACACCTCAGCCAGCTTGGAGCAGTACTTGTACACACGTGACGTCTTGCGGTTGTAGAGCCAGGCGTTGTTGAACATCAGCCAGATATCGTCGACATATTGCCACGGCTCCTGGTATTGTCCTGTGTCCAGCTTCCTCTTGATGGTTGACAGGTCCATGGGGTTCTTCACAATATCAAAGTAGTCCTAGGTTTGGAACGGGGTCGATCCGGATTCAAGTGAAGGGTCAAGAGAAAGTTGAGAAGGGAGAGAAGAAAGAGCAGCAAGATGGTGGAACGGTTTGGCCGTCAAAGGTAAGAGGATAAGAGAGAAAGGGAGGAAGAGTATCGTCATCATCAGTGTTGTGGTCGTCAGGTGTGATGAAGGCGTTGCAGTTGACCAGGTGGGACCAGAGTAGGGAGAGAAGAGGGTGCAGGGGGACAATGTTGTTGAGCGCTGCAGAGAAGAAGGTTCACGTGCAAACAGAGAGACATGACAACTTCTGCCCTCCAGCTCTCTGCTTTGCACCCTACATGTAAAGTCCCTATCTGAATTGTGCAGCGGGGACCAGACGACCGCCACCAGTCCGTCCAGTCCTCTGCTGCTCGTGCAACCACAGTCAAAACTTTAAAAAAAGGCTACAGGTGCATTTCATGCGATCACATTGATAAATAATGACTACAGGATCACAAGGCTGATCTTTAGGTTGAATTTGTCTTAAACAGTAAAGTGATTAACACAGTTTGACTGCCAGGGGAATGATTCTCTGCTGAGGTTTGGAGGCAAACAAAGCTTTCAGGCCTGGGTATCGATCAGGGTGCAAAACCAAGAAGAACAGAGCAGGGGCAACAGCAACAGGCAGACAGAGATTTACTGTTTTTAGCAACATAGCGGTTGGCGTTAACAACGGCAGCAGTGCGAGTAGCAATATGATGACGGAGTTAAAGCCAACAGTGTGAAGCAAATGTAAGAGGGGCGGTTGAGTCTCCAAGTTATTTTTCTGTTCCCGTCGTCTGCGCTCTGCTTCTCCTCAAAAAACAATATCATTTGAAAAAGCAGCAGAGGAGAGGGCGAGGAAAAGAAAAGGCCTTTTGGAGATTCAACCAAAATAAAGGGGGAAGTGTGACTTTCAAAGAGCAGGGTCCATCCCTTTGTCACCATGGCAACAAGAGTTAGGAAACAGACCCTCGTCTCTGAATGGAACCACTCACTTTGGTAAACAAGTGATGTATAATAGAATAGCAACCTACAGACACAAATTTATATCACAGTAATTCAATGTTTATAAGCCCCTCCAGGTGGGTGGGTAACTTTAATTTGTATAAAGTGGCTGAATGTTTCTCTGAAAATGGCGTCATACTAATTGTACAACAGTGGAAAGTTGCATCACTTGACTGTGGAGGTTCCTGAAGGAGAGGTGAGCCAATAGCCTGGTGCTCCCTCATCACTGCTCAAAAAATGGCCTTTTTAAAAACCTCATATTAAAGAAGGCGGTGAAAGAACTGACAGTCACTGTTCTCAATACAATAATGATTTCTACTTGTATGCAAGTGCATGTGTGGTCTAATCAAATACTTTTTTTCCGCCTGAATTGGATGCAGTGAGGGTAAAGTTATTGTCCCACCTCTACACACCGCCCACCTGAACATTTGACACTTCTACTGCTACTGGTGAGGAACTGAACTAGAAAGCTAGCAATGGAATACGAGGATGAAAACTACAAAATAAAATGCAGGTCAAATTAAAAGCTACGATTTATGACAAAAGGCAAAAGTCAAACATGATAAATTATGTGTTAAATGAAAGCAATTGAATCGTGAACAGTTTTTAGAGGTGAAAGCAAATAATGTTCTATCTATGAAATATCCCAATTGAAATAGGCCATGATGAAATTTCTCATTTTTTGGATTTGGACTTCTATAAAAGACAATCCATGATTTATTTATTAGGCAAAATGGGTCTGGTAATATTGTGTTGTTCATTAGGTTTTTATAATTTGTGAGTCGCTGCAGGGGCCTACATTTAAAGTTTAGTCAACCTGCCCTTAAAGCTGTCAACACAAAACTGAAATGTTTTTAAAAATGTGTAATTATTCAGCCAAACTAGGTTTTCATGTTTTTTCTAAATCAGATTTTCCTGTAAGACAACATTTACTTTGTCCTTTACTATTGTTTCAAAGTAAAGGCAAAGTTCGTAAGAGTCATTGCTTTGATTTACAAATGACGAGAAGTTTCAGAAAAGAGAAAACACAAATTCACACACACACACACACACACACACACACAAACATACATACATACAAACACACACGATCACACACTCTGACATCTCGTTTTCTTCACTTCTGACATGCAATGGGAGAAACCAACTAAAATGTGAAAGGTACTGTAAGCAGAAATATGAAATCAATTCTGATGACAACTATGACAAAGCAGAAAAAAATATAAAAAGATGAAAAAAATAAAGGAAAACAAACAATAAAAAAAAAACTACGTTTTAAGAGGAGTTGAAGCAAAATGGCAGCCAGTGCAGTCCCTTACCAGGTTAGTTTTGTTACTAGTTCGAATACGTACGGGTATTCCCAGTAACTGGGGGTCCACCGGCTGACGGAAGGGCAGGGACTCAGGGTCCTGCCGGTACAAAGCTTCCAGCGTGGGCATCAGAGCCTGACGCAGCTCCTCCGGCTTAAAGACTGGAAAACAAATGAGAGATTGTCAGATGGCAGGTAGGTGAGAACGTGAAGAGGTAACATTACTCATTACTTACTCTTCTTCTTAGACTGAGAGCTGGCTGGGGAGCTGCTAGTGGATGTTGACCCTGACCCCTCCTCTTCCTCTTTGGGCTCCTTCTTCACCTCCGGCTTCTTGTCTTCACCTGTTGCTACCGACGATGTCGTCGAGAATGAAGATGTATCCATGGGCTCCCCTTTACACCCATCTGACGACAGCTTCTCTTTCTTTATCTGACGACAAGACGTAAGTGTCAGTATAATGATTTCCTCATCGATGTGATTATTTGTGAAAACTGAATGCATGACCTAAAACACTGTGGACGGGCTTACTTCAGGTTTCTCCTCTGTCTTCACGTCAGGCTGACCCTTTCCCATCTTCCCTTTGCCCTCTCCTTGTGAGTCAGTCCCATCATCATCCTCCTCCTGCTTCTTCACATCCATTTTAACATCTTCCTGGCTGGCAGCAGGGCCATTTGATGGTGCTGGCTGGGAGCTGGCATCAGTGCTGCTGTTGACCGAGGCTGGGGAGGATACCTCTGCTGTCAGAGAAGGCTTCGCTGACAGCTGCGACAAAAGGACAGAGATTGAGGCTTAGAAGTTTAGAAAGTTGGAAGCTTTTGGTGGGTTTCCAACACTCACTGCTTTTTAATACATTTTAAGGACTTCTTGGTCGTTTAATCTCTCAAATGTATGAATGTTAATTTTACTGTGTAACTTAGAGGGAATAAACAGAACTATTCTAGCGTAAAAGGGATCGAGCACCCCACACAAGGAGGGGTCATTGAACCAGAGTAACTGGGAAGATAAGAGCATCCCTGAGTAAGGTTTAAACGTGTGGTTTCAGAAAAACAAGTCTGTGTTGGAGAAAAAGGACAAACTAATGAAAACAGGGTGATCTACTCACTGGGGTCTTGGGCAGCTGTGGTGGCACATGAGCATTCTGGTTAGGCACTGAAGAAGCCTGACCTGATTGGGGGCCTGAGGAAGCCCCCACACCCCCAAGCGTCTGCTGACCGGCCTTCTCAGAATTCACTGTCTGTGATGATGGCGGCTGCTGTTGCTGTTGATGTAACGTTTGTTGCTGTTGTTGTTGCTGCTGCTGCTGTTGTTGTTGCTGCTGTTGTTGTTGTTGCTGTTGTTGTTG